CCCTGCCTTTCCCTTCCAGTTTAATTGAGAGATGGAGGGGAAAGGAAGGTATGAGGGGCAGGGACACGCTCATCCATACTGACATGCTAGTGAAAACAGAGCTTTCGCGCAACTCCAGAGCGCAGGACCTGAACATTGCTGCTGTTCGCCTCCTCCTCTCCCCTCCCACAGCTGAGTTCAGTGGCAGGGAAAAGGGCCCAGGTATCAGTGCCAGACTTTGGAGCTCTGTGAAGACTCTGGTCTCGCTGACATGGGCTCTGGCTGGAGCTGCAGCTTTTGCGCAATTTTTAATTCATTTAATAAAATATAAAATAATACTATGAATATTGAAGTTTCTCATTTGCATTTAATATGCCTAAAATTACTAAAAACATGTTTTCCTTTCCAGTATTACTTACAATATTTGATGTTAGGATATGCCAAAGTACAGAACTGTAATGCTTTTTCCCTGTGGCCCTTAGACCATTTCTGAATTTAAAACTTGGCCCCCTTCAGGGGTAGAGGGAAAGGTTAAGCATCACCGGCTTAAGCTACATAATAGATAAAACAATGCTTTTGTTTAACTCCATATGTAAATTAAAACAGTTGCACAAACCAATCCATTATAACACAGTAAGATACAGCAGAGAATTGAAATTTGACAGCCCTGCATCAAAGACTGTAGTTTGTACTGTTGTTCTCCCCAGGTTCAGATATTTTGGTCTTTCTGTTTTGAAACGTGTTACTGGCGAGGTTTAATGTTTCTGTTTCTGAGGAAAAAGACACGTGCTTTAGGTACTTGCCACCTTTACTATAAGGTGACTGCCCAGGTTAGTTCTTCCTCACCCTTGTCTAGGTTGTGGGCACTTGCCAACTGCTGAGCCACAGTTGTGTGCAATTGCTGCAGTATGCTGATTCCTCTGGGGGGGTTTTGTCCACCATGTGCTCTCTCGCCCTGCGGTAATACAGTATTCACAACCTTCTGTGTGCTCTCCTTCATAATTACCAAGGGAACAGTTTGGTAGGCCTCCTAAGAAACAGTAATTGCATTGTTTTCTAACAGTTAATTGGATTTACTTTAAATGATGTAAAAATGAAGTTCCCCTTTCAGTTGTTCATACCAAGTGGTAACAGCCAACTTGCCTTCTGAAGTGAAAAAGGAAGCAGGGCATGGTTTTTTGGTTTGTTTGGTTTTTTCCTCTCCATGTTGGGCATTGATATAATAGCCTTTGCCATGACATCAATATGAAAACTTGCTCAATCAACCCGCAATTGTTGAAAGAGCTGAATGTAAAATCCTGAAAGAACACAAGAGGAGTACCATCTTTGGCAGTGTCAAAAGAAAATGTGGTTTGTATGTCTGGAACCTGGGAACCCTCCAAAGAGAGTGATATAAAGAGGAATTGTATCCCTAAATTCTACTGAAAAGGACATCGGTCTCTTTGAAATGTTCTGCAGTACATAAGAGGCCTCCTGAATGCACAAAGAAACGGTCTTCCAAATGCCACTTGGCATTCATGTGAGGGATAAAATACTGAAACCGAATGAGCCTGTTTCATTTACTCAAGTAAACCAACACAGGACAGAGATGAAGTAATGCTCTGTTTGCCTTCAGTGAGGGCAGATGCTTTATTCCTAAGTCCTAGGATAAGAAGTTTAAAAATAATCATAATTGAAAGAAAGGTAAAGTTGAATATTCCTATACATTATTAAAACTCAAAACAAGTAGTTCACCAGTATCTACATTCCTTGTACTTTTAGGCATTCCAAGCAGTCCATAAGACACAAACACATGAGATCGTTCCATTTTGTGAAGTATCTAAAATAGTAAATCATCAAAGTCTAAATTAAAGTAAATGACAAACAACAACAAAAATTTGCTCTAAACATCCCAAAATGTTCTAAGTGCTCCACAAATAAAAAGTCAGACGTTTTCTCAGCCTGACGGTAGGTGTTTGTAGCTGAAAGTTTGCAAAGAAGGATTTTTTCCAACTACTGTATTTGAGTTGGTCTAATAAAAGATATCAGATTTACCCAAAGAACCTTGTCTGCCACAAATAAAAACACAATTTCTGCTCCCAAAACAGGTACACTCATAAGTGATGTGACAAGAAAGGGCCGTAACTGGAGAGGAATCAAATAGAAGATTATAACAGGATTCCTCAGTTACACAGTGTGGTGTGTTTTCTTATAATGAAGGAAAGTACAGCAATGCAGCTAAAAGTGAGAGCAGTCACAGCAGTTCAGCTGGCACTGTTTAGTTTATTGGATTTCTTTTCCTGTGAGCTTACCAATGGTTGGAGTCCTTGCAGCAATGATATTCTCACTTTGACCTCAACCTGTGTATACCAAAAATTTGTTTGACTTAGGATCAAAAATGCAAATCATAGCTCAGAGGAGCTGCCTACGTTAGCGCACAGTGAAGACTGTATAGAGCTGGAGAACAGTCAGTGAACATCTGCTGGAAAAGATGGAGTCTGCTGCACAAATGACAAAGATCTGGTACACAATCCCACGCCTACCTAACACAATCTCCATGTTTTTGGAGCCATTTTGTCATTCAAAAACAAATCTTGCCTTAAGTCGTAGCATATGGAAGACTTTCATTTAGAAAACTGTCACTAGGTAGCCTCTGGCTTTTATATTACCATGTGTGCCAGCCCACTATATACAGAGTGATTTAAAGCCAGAGGCATGGGAAAACAGGTCCGGGCCAGCATCCCCAACCCCAGTTCCCAGCTCCATGCCTTTTAAATTGTTGCATCCGCTGCCCAGGCAGGCAGTATGCACAGCATTTAAAGCCGTGAGGACCAGAAGCACCAGGCAGGCAGTATGCACAGCATTTAAAGCCTTTAGGACCAGAAGCCCCTGCCCTGCCTCAGGTCCTGCCCCTAACAGCTTTTAAATCACATTTTAACAGGAGGTATTTTTCCTGTGGGAGAAACTTGATGAACATTTTCTTTCTATTGGGAGTGGCAGAAACATAACACCTGTACATGGCCAAAGAGTAACCGCCCTGGAAACAGTGTGTCCAGGAAGAGTGGAATCCCAGAAGACTGTCTGAGTGAAGCAGCTGGGACACGTCACGTGTACCTCCCATTTTCCCAGTCACAGCTGACTTTTTTCCTACATGCTGCCTTCCAAAAACAAGGCGTGCGTTTTATCTTGGGGCGTTTTGTATGCCAGAAAACCCAGCAATATAGAAATGAAGAGTTTGACTTCAACTGGAATTTCATTCCCCTTGAGTTTGTAGTTCCTTTTTCTCCAGAGATATCAAGTCTTTATCATCTGCCTCATTCAACCCACGAGCAGCAAGAATGTATCTGCTTTTCGCTGATAATTCTTGCTACTAATTTTCTGCAGAGATTGGTGTTGCAGAGGCTAGATTTAAAATCTTTTCACGTATTGAGAGGTCAGTATTTAAAAAAAAAAGAAAAAAAGAAAAGCTTTTTTACTGTACACATCTTGGAAAATGCTGTTTCGTAAAGCTTTGAAAGCTAGGCTCTGATTCTGCAGCCT